CCATAGCGGTCAGCTGCGATGGAACCGCGTTAAGCGGTTGGACCGCTCAAAGTATCGGGAATGGAATAATACCACTGTTCCTGTCATATTTAAATCTTTTTAATTGAAAACTCCTTGACAACTTTTTTTTAAATCGAATACTGTTTTTTTTTTTAAAAAGATTCTCGGTCTTTTCACAAAGTTTCGTCAAACTTGTTTAGTCGTTGAGAAAATGGAATTGACTCGAGAAAATTCAAGAGCGATGATTTATTACGACTTTCGAAGTGGTTTATCACAAAAACAATGTGTTGACCGGATGATTTCTGCATTTGGTGATGAAGCCCCATCCAAAACCACAATTTATCGCTGGTTTGCTGAATTTTAACGTGGACGTGTCAAGCTCAGTGATGATCCCCGTCAAGGTCGTCCAGAAACTGCAGTCACCCAAGAAAACGTTGATGCTGTGCGTAAGCTGATTGAGGAAGATCGACATGTGACATACCGCGAAATTCAGGCAACTTTAGACATTGGCATGAGTCAAATACAAATAATCTTGCATGAACAATTAGGTGTAAAAAAGTTGTTTTCCCGATGGATACCGCATTCGCTCTGTAAAGAGCAAAAAGCGGTTTGCATTACTTGGTGCGTCAGAACTCTCAGAGAATTTCATCACCTGAAGAAGCTGTGGACGCCTACAAAACGGCCATTTTGGAGACCCCAACTTCCGAATGGAATGGTTGCTTCAATGATTGGTTCCATCGTATGAAAAATGTGTCAAATTTCGCGGAGATACTTCGAAAAGCATAAATACATTTTTAAATAGTAATGTTGTGTCACTTCCCGAAATTTTCAGTGCCGCCCTAGTATTGCTTCTAATAGCGCCCTCTCGTCACATTGCTTAGCAACGATTGTGTAAAGCAGTATCTAAAGTCAATGTCAAATCATTTATTTCAATTAGACCACCTAAAATGGCACTTTTGAACGTCAAACAAAATACAAAGAAGATTCTAGTTGCCCCTTCCAAAAGGTAGTTTCGTGTGGAGAACAATGGGAAAGAAACTCCACACTTACTCTTTTAAAATAGGTTTACATTATTTTATATCTAGCTTTGACTACTCGACACATGTTATTCTCTAGGACTTAACCTTTTTGAGTAATACTAATCAAATATAAGTAAGGTCCTAACTACCTTAAGACAACAGACCACAATGTATTCAATTCATTCTTATACTGTAATATATATATATTCATATATTCATATTCTATGTGTAAATTTATTGTAGATTGTGCTTTATATTTTGTTGCGAACTATGATCCCTTTAATGGTATGGGGAGGTATTTTAAGTTTTTATAATAATACATTTTTGTTTTCGACGCTACGAAGATTTTGCTAAAATAATTACCTACCTAAATAATAAAAATTACTCTGTAGTATTGATGGTAATTTTAAATTTCTGTACAATTGCAATAGATAATAAAATAAACTAAATACACTTAATTCTCAACGCAAATTCATCACTTTCGAAGTTAATTAATTTAAAAATGCAAATCAAATTATCGCAAGCAGGACTATTCTAAAGCTTAGAGACAGTAAAAATATACATGCAGTAGGTATACAATGAAAAACATTTGAATTGGTTAACACTATATTATATACATACATTTTGATTATTTGATTATACATTTGGCTGATTGAATTATTTAGTTTAGTCAAATTTGAGGACTACTTAAATGATCCTAATCCTTGGGATTGAATTGCTCCAGTTCAAACAATTTGTATGACAATACTTGGCGATTAAAAAGAGTGGCGGAAAGTTTCTTGCCAGTTCTTCTTACCCGCTCTACGCCCTTGACTTGCGAACTGGTAGTAAATGTAAATTTACGATTAATTTAACTTGACGATTCAAAAGTGTACTTGGTTACCTACTTGAATAAAGATATTTTGAGTTTGAGTTTGAGTTTGAAACAACAGAGCGTATGGTATGGTAAGCGAACTAAAATTAAATCTGCCAATTATCTCTTTCATTTAGCTTGACTATTAAATTTATATTTCCAATCACATTGTTATAACAATTGATATGTGAGACAGTGCGCAAAGGTTTATTTGAGCTTAATATAGCTAAAATAGACACTTTATACCATAATATTAAGTGAAAGTGTTGTCTAGAACTTTCTAAACAATTTCTAAAAAAAAATATATACACAGTGCGCTACATACACATACTATATACTATACTATATACTATACTAAATGCATTACTTCCGTCAAAATCTTAATATATATATTTCTTCTGTGCGTGTGTATGTGACTGAACTCCTCTCAAACGACTGGACCGATTTTGATGAAATTTTTTGTGTGTGTTCAAGGGGATCTGGGAATGGTTTAGATTCACAAATCAGCCCGGCAGATGGCACTGCAGTCGGTACTTTCATACTTTGCTTAATATCCTAATCGCTTTAAATATCATGCAGGACAACGTCTGTGGGGTCCACTAGTATTAGACCACAAGCCCATGAACAAAAAATACCTGTGAAATGACCCAACGTGAATTACGCTTAGAAGGCTGTTACTATATCTGAAAATAGCTCTGAGCACTATGCCGTCATTTCTGAGCGGTACATGTGAGTACGTGAGTGAATGGACTTTCTCATGTACAATGGGGGGAATTTCGACTAATTATTAATGTACGGCTTTGTTATAAGTGTATAGATGATTAAAAATAAATGTCGAAAAACCTAGTGCCGTACAAAAGTGATGGTGCCGGAAGTCGGTGCAAATTTTTAATTCGACGACAGTTGCAGGAGCAATATAGGTCATTTATTACTGTACGGCATTTGTGTCATTCCTTTTGGACACATATACAGATACTTTACCCGTAAACGCCGTACATATTCCCAGCGGAGCGGTCGAAAGCCAAGGGTCGCAACATATGTCTGATTAGCATATAGGTGATGATGATATGAATCAACATAAAATTAAATGATCTTGAGAGTACTTCACAAATAGATAACATTTTCCAGCATGCCGTACATTTTTTGTGGAACACATAGGTGTATGGGGCAAATTACTTTTCTCAGAAAAGAGTCATTTTCCGGTGACTTTTATCTGTACGGCAATAACACAGGTTATTAATACTTTAGACAACCTTCAATAAAAGATAAATGCCGTACACTTTCGATAGTCCGCTACCACCGCCTACCAATACAGGGCGTCCCAAAGTTATGGGAAATGAAGGGAAAGTACCTTAAATATCGTAGATAGGGTATTTTACTAAAAGAAGACTTTATGTTATTTTTAAAAGTTATTAATTCTGCATTCAAAGATTTTTTAAAAATTACTTGCCTCGTCTGGGAATCGAACTGACTTAAATGTAAAAAAAACACCCCTACTTTTATGATGCCAATCGAAAGAATGGCCAAAAACTAATAACTCTTCTTAAGTAACATAGTATTTTAAAAGAAAGGAACAGCGTGAATATATCTTTTTTAATCAAATTAAAAACATTATCTATCGTATTCGGCCTAAAAAAAATCCCCTACGAGTCTGTTACTTTAGAAAAGTTATTAGGTTTTGGCCATTCTTTCGATTGGCATCATAAAAGTAGGGGTGTTTTTTTTTAATTTAAGCCGGTTCGATTTCCAGACGAGGCAAGTAGTTTTAAAAAAATCTTTGAATGCAGAATTACTAACTTTTATAAATAACATAAAGTCTTCTTTTAGTAAAATACCCTATCTGCGATATTTAAGGTACTTTCCCTTCATGTCTCATAACTTTGGGACCCTGTATTATATATATTTTTGTTAAAAATATTTTTCCTTTACCTCTCTCTGCTGGTACGATAAGGCTGTAAATATACTTTACAGCCTTATGGTAGTATACTCAGATATGTACAGTTATTAATGACCTTAAGGGACACCTCAAACGTCGTCGAAGTTTTTATCAGCTGTAAAGAATAATCTGGAGTAAAATGTACGGCATCTGGTTTTTTTTGTTTATTTATATTTGTTACATATAAAATAACAATAATCTTTGAAAATATTACTCCCCATATTACTCTAGGAGCATTTGAAAAGTCATCTAAATTTCGGAAATTTCATATATTTTTTATCATAATATTTTTATTTGTTACCATTTATAATGAACGGCTATAATGTACAACGGTAATATTTAGTAACATTATGTAAAAAAACAAGTTGCCGTACATTATTCTCTGATCTTACAGCAGTAAGAACTTGGTAAATCCTGAAATTTCGATAAATATTTAATTACACAAATATTAACTATAATATTTGGACGGCATAATTATAAAACATTATTGTCCGTGTTAAATAATATTTTGAACATGTTGCCGTACATTTTACAATGACCTTAGGGTATATGGGTGTAGGGGTAGGTTTCCGACCCTTGGCTTTCGACCGCTCCGCTGGAAATATGTACGGCGTTTACGGGTAAAGTATCTGTATATGTGTCCAAAAGGAATGACACAAATGCCGTACAGTAATAAATGACCTATATTGCTCCTGCAACTGTCGTCGAATTAAAAATTTGCACCGACTTCCGGCACCATCACTTTTGTACGGCACTAGGTTTTTCGACATTTATTTTTAATCATCTATACACTTATAACAAAGCCGTACATTAATAATTAGTCGAAATTCCCCCATTGTACATGAGAAAGTCCATTCACTCACGTACTCACATGTACCGCTCAGAAATGACGGCATAGTGCTCAGAGCTATTTTCAGATATAGTAACAGCCTTCTAAGCGTAATTCACGTTGGGTCATTTCACAGGTATTTTTTGTTCATGGGCTTGTGGTCTATATACTTATACATAATTAGGTAGGTTACATAACAGGTAGGATAAAAGATAAAACACTAATATTTTAAATAGACTAAAGTCATATTAATATTGACTTCTATATAGTGCTACCTCTAACTAATTTGTGATAAACGATGTCAGTTTTTGTCCTTGAGTGAAATAATTACAAAGATTCATGACCCTCATGTTGTTTCATACTTTATACATCAGCAGGTGATCCCAGATTGAACCTAGACATTTTACGGTCTCGGGAGCTCGCCGATTGCCCTGACGTGGAGCGCTGCAGCGAGCCAGAACGTGACTGGGAGGATTCCGACTTAGACTTCTTACCCTTGCTGCCTCCTGATGCTGGTTGTTTGCCCTTCAGAGAAGATACAGATACTACTGTATCGGACGTCACGCCATCATGTTCAACGCGCCGTATCACTGCGCCAGCATTGTTCAAAAAGAACTTTGGTTTTGAGTCTTTTAGCAGGGAGTCCTAAGTAAAATAAAGGACAAGAGTGTGTTATACAATGATTTTTCTTTTACTGTTGTAAAGTTCAGTTTGAACCTGACCTTAGATTTACTAGACTTGGAAGCCGTGTCAGAGCTTCGTTTCCACCAATGTCATTGAACCGCACAACCCCTGACTACTTCTTCCTTCTCGGGGGTTGAAACGTTGGCTTCCACGTCATCTTCTTTCGGCGTCTCTGTGCCATCACTGACCGTACAAAAGTTTCGTTAAACAGAACCTTAGAATGCAAAGATTCATATTAAAACTTCAGTGCTAAATGAACTAACTTACACAGCGTCTGGTCTGGCGTTCTGTTGGTTTCGCATCGTCAGAGTTGAGATCATCGGGGGTCGCTGAGGTTTGTTTGCCAGAATTTTTTCGATGTCCAAAATCACCGCCGGAGACAATTGAGGCACGATCTGTGAAATCGAATTAAATGACTCATTAGAAACATGAACTGTTTATTTGAGAAAATAAAAATGATGGAAAGTACTAAGTACAGTAAAATATCGTGGCTTGGTTTTTGTCCTTATTATATTACTTGATTACGTATTTTTACGATTACGATAGAGTGCGATTCCTTTGTAATGTAAAAATCGCCTCCTAAATAAGATACCTGCAGTGCGTGTATATTTTCTTTGAATTGTTCGACACTTGTAGCGCCTAGAAGTAAGCAGTTTATATTTTCATTTTTAAGACACCACGCCACCGACAACTGCCTTATCGAGCAATCTGAAAACACAATGAGACAGGCGTAAATATTAATAACTCGATTTTATAATTATAGCGAATCATAAATTATACTCGCTCATGGCATTGGCTAGGTCGGAGAGAGCTTTCAGTTTGTCCTTGAAACTTCGTGACTCTTCGGCTACTGTAGATTCATTTTTTTCGAGTTCCTATAAAAACACCTTATTTAAGCTTATTTTATTTAAAATATATTATGTAAAGGATGTTTAATGAATGCTTTAGTTACATTGTTAGCAACGAGTTCCTCCTCCCACCAGCTGAATGTGCTGTATTTACGGTTGAAGCGAGATTTGGCAAATAACCCTGCCACCTCGTCATGGTTCAGACCCTTATCAGTAGTTAGTGCAGACCACACCATAGTTCCTGCATATAAAGACAATGATTACGATCGATCATGGGTACCTACAATACTAAAATTAATATACTGACCCACTCCAATTTTATGATACACTTCTGGCATATACAGTTCGGTCTTTTCACGACAGAACATATGGTACTCTGTCTGCTCGACGACCGGCGGACAGCAATTGAAAGATCGACACTTAGAGAACGCATCCATAATCTATGAAATCCATTTTATTGTATTATTAAAATATATTTAACTACATTATACATTTTGATATAAGGCAAAAAGTACATTTTACCTCGGTTGGAGTCCAGCGCGCTGTGCCCCAATACATCGCATATCCTTGGTTTATGAGGTAGTCCATTGTTCGGACCAACTCTGCAGTAAGCAATTTATAACATTGAGACAATACTTAGTATTAAGAGTTTAATTATATAGAATGCAGGGTCCTACCTTCCATCGGACATACGGGATCCAATTTATGTACAAGAACTAAGTCTATGTACTCTAGCTGGAGCCTCCCCAATGACTCCTTCACGCTTTCTATTATATGTTTTCGAGATTGACCTCTTTCTTCACACCTATAAATAAAAAACAAGTTTTACTTTTATATACGTATCTATGTGAACATAACCGTTAAATTATAGAATAAATATATACCAGGGTTACTGGTATTTTTTTTATTTCTAATAAACAAGAAAACTCACTTAGTACTCCAATAGATTTTGGTTGTAATAATAATACTGGATCGATTAACGTTTCTTTTCTTCAGTATTCTGCCCAATTCTGCTTCACCCTGTGCTAAAATCGTTAAAAGTTATTAGTTTAGTCAATAAAGTGTCAAGTTTAAAAACTACCATTATGGTATATCAGACATTATTAAAATGCATGTGGAATCTAATTAGTAATTTTTTTTAAAAGACTTACCGTTATGAGCTTTAGATAAATCAATTAAATTGATTCCACTCTCGAGAGCTGTCATGACGAGGTCTTCAGCGACATCTTCGTTGAGATGAGAGATCCACAGGCTGAGGCCGATGTTGGGCACTCGCAATCCTGACTTGCCCATGTTTTTGTAACGAAGTCCTGGAGTCACGGATGACGGCATACTTGCGTGGTTCCCCATGTACACTGACGACTGATTTGCCATATTCTCCCAACTGGCTACAAAAATATTGGATAATCAATTTATTATAAACACTATAAATTTACAGATTTTAATAATTTTCTCAGCTGTATGTGTTATGTATTGTGGTAAATCCCAAAGCCAAGTGAGCTTTGACAGGGAAGTTCTTCTTAACATATCCTTCCCAAAAACACCGACTGATTTATATATATGATAACTGCAAATAATTGAGTGAAAAACATAAAAAGGATAGCGAGAGCTTGGAGCTAATGTATACCTGGTTGAAATAAGTGCAGAGCAGAGTTTGTGCTAAAGTCGTCCATACAGTCCAGTGACGCGATGGGTGCTCGGCATCTGCGTATCACGTTCCAAAATCAAAAGTCTAAATTTAATATTTCATTAATATGTTCTTATGTCTATTATTTTATCTAACGTAAGAATCCTTAATTTATTATAAAATAAAAAGCTTATTCTAAATTTCTGCTTAAACACTACCCTATTTTAACAACTGCTTCTATTTTCTAAATTGCAAGCACAACAATAAATTCCATATGATTTCAAATACTCTACTGTGGCTAGTTATTTTATACTTACACGGTATCGATATGAACCAAAATTATACACAAATACAAATTAAATAGAACGGAATATTTGCAACATACAATTTCTCTAATTAAATTCTATAACTCCACAAAGCATAGAGAGTGAAAAATAAAATGCGGGAGTCAGGAAGAAAGGTAAGTTTTAAGTAATATTAATGATAACTTACCTCGTCGACGGCACTGATATGAAACCTAAGCTAGCTACAACCTGATGGCTGGCTAATGTAATAGAAAAATGTCAAAGACAAAAGACAAAAGACATAAATCCGATACCTTTGAACTATGAGAAGGTTCAAATCGGCTTTTGTATTTTCTATGGATATTCACGACAATTTGATAATTCGTCTTAAAGCAAGCCATCAGAGCATAGCATATCGTAGCACTCTCGATGGATAGCACTCCAGAGATGCGCCGTGGGGATCATGCGACGTCGACTGTGACGAGTGAAGTGGCGCTGAACTTTACTGTGTCGTGCATTGCTGAGCATGGTTGTGTCTGTCTTTCGATCGTCCGAGAAACAGTTTTGATCGAGAATCACGACGCTAGGCGCAGAGGCTAGTGCGTTACCGGTATATGGTGAGCATTGGGTTGGAGTCTACGCTGACACTGTCGGGTAGACCGAGTGGTGTGTGCGGTGTGCGGCGGCTGACCGTGGATTCGCTTCGTGACATGGTGTTTCCTTTGTTCTGCCGCTGCTCCGTTCTCTTCATACCTAACTCGTCTGAAACATACACTCTCACGGTTGAAGGAAAGGACGTAGCGGGTTAAGTCACACGTAGAAAAGCAAGCGCAGCCTAACTATCTAATATCTAGGACTAACGATGATCTAACCACTGGCTGACTGCTGCTCTCGAATCCGCTCTCGCTTAAACTCTCAACGAATACGTGCACTGCGGTTGGCCGTCTGTGGAGAAAGGGCGACGGCTGCCCCAGCTATGCGTACGCAGGTCCAGCGAGTTGTGCACATGCGCTCTGGTTGTGGTTCACCTTAAATAAATAAAAAGTCTTGTTTCTATTTATATCTAATTACGCAAAAAGTACAACAACTAAAAGTGTATTTGGCGATAAACAACGCATAGTTACGTTTTACTAATTAACAACAAACAGGTAATACTTCTTACATAAGTAATATAATAATTAAATTAAGCCATTGTTCTTTGACCGTTGGTTACAAATTATATTACATTAGTTATATATATAAAACGTAAAAGAATGTTACGTATAATAACATTATTTTTTGTATAGGATGGAGTTAAAGAAAATAAAAATATTTACCACAATAATAAATCCTAAAATATCGCGGCAGTCTTCTAAACACGTTTATTCGGCGTGAATACTGGAAATCACGTATGGGTTATTTTTACGAAAAGCGAAACATTGCGTATTGGCTCAGTTCCAAATTATTACTAAATCTCAGGATGGAGAACTCACTACACCGCAACCTGTCATGTATTATTGATAGATAGAATTCGAAATGTATTCAGTTTCTTTTTTTCTTGTTGTAATTTAATAGTTTGAATTAAATAATAATAATGATATCGATTTTTAGCAAATTCTGTTTTTACCATCAACCCGCGGGGTTATTCCGTAGGACCAAAACTAATGAATGTGCCGAATCAAATATTCATTACTGTTGTTGAAATCGATATGGAAGTTACGTGCTGTTTACCTAATACAACAAATACATTTGTTTAACTAAAACCTATAAACATAGTATATATGAACCTAATTGTAGCGTATTGGATCATTAATTAATTTTTGAGAGAAATTAGTAACGATAGTCGGAATTTAAGAAATATTAGAAGAGTTTAGAAATTGTAGTTACCTATGTGAGGAAATCGTTGGTATAAGTGTAGGTTATAGCAAGTAGCCGTGCGCAGTAGACACTAGAACTGCGCGCGCATTGCTGCGGCAATCGCCACCCTTTGCCACGAAGACGCTAGACCGCAGTGCGTGAGCTTGTCGCGTGCCCTGGTGAGAACCGAAATAGGAGCAGCAGTCAACCTGCGCTCAGATCATCGTGTGGCCCGCGTTAGTCCCAGAAGTTAGGGCATTCAAGTTTCTGTTCCGTGTGACTTAACCCGCTACGTCCCTTCCTTCAGTCGTCGGGAGTGTCTGTTTCAGATGAGTTAGGTATGAGAAGGATGGATCAGCGTGAGGGCAAAGAGAGCGCCATGTCGCGCAGCGAGTCTACGGTCAGCCGCCACACACCGCACACACCCTTCGGTCCGCCGGACAGCGTCAGCGTAGACTCCAACCCAATGTCCACCATATACCGGTAACACGCCCCTAATTCCGGGCCTCAAGCGCTAGCGTCGTGTCCCTCGATTGGAACCGTCCCTCGGACGTGGCGATCGAAGGACAGGACGTCATCCAAGCTCAGCAATGCACGATCCTGTATAGTCCCAGCACCACTTCACATACTGCCACAGGACATCGCATGACCATCACGGCGGATTACTGGAGAACAAGGTCACCGAAAAATCTATACACAACGCCCTGATCGCCCGCAACTTGCTAATTATATAGTGAGATGTTAAATGATTAGCATATTCATTTCTTGCACAGTTTTGAAAGGCTGGTAAAACGAAGCAACAACAATCCAACTTGAACAGGATCATTTTCGGTATAACATTTAATATATACTTTCTGTCATGGGTATATTTATGAAATAATGATTAATATATATCATTATTCTTGTGAGCTATCAGACTGTTGTAAGCTTTGCTTTTCATGTCAACGCCGGCGTAAAGGTAAGTTTATCACAACAATCCTTCCTCTCCTGCCTTTTATAGATCTAGCTATAATTGTCATTGTCAACGTAGCTCGAACATAGATTTTGTGGATAAATACTTCATGTAGATATTAAGTATGTACTTAGCAAGTCGAACAATTTATATAATTTAATTTGGTATGTAATTTTTATAGATCTTCGTCAACGGACTGGCCTTAACAGATTTTCTTATAAATCTATTTCATATAAAGTAAGAATATACAAAGTTACTTGAGTGGAGACAAAACATGATTGTGTTGTTTAATTCATAAGATTTTGAGCTATTTAGTATGGTGCAAATTAGTATTTTTTGTAATGTAAAATTTGGCAGTAAATAGTAATAAAAGGGCATAACTGTTAATCGTTGGGTCATTTTAAGATGTTACGTAAATTAAAAACAGATTATTGTACGTATATAGAAAATTAACGTGTGAATATGGTACTCAGATGCCGAGCACCCATCGCGTCACTGGACTGTATGGACGACTTCAGCACTCACTCCGCTCTGCACTTATTTCAGCCAGGTATTAACATTAGTTTTCTACGGGTTATGGCAACTTTTTATTTTACATTTACATACTTGATTGCGAAAAACAGACGCCTTCCAAAAAATATAGGCAAATGTGAAAAATACCTCAAGTATAAATGACGTGTTACTTCCGGCCTACTACTACATTAAGTTACCATGGCTTAGTAATACTTCTAGTACATCTATGAATAACTTAGCAATTACATTTGTTGTTTTTAATGCTTCGGTAGAAGAGTTGCGCCTGTTAAAAATGAAATGTGAAAAAACCCAGTTAAAGAATAAAATATGTTTTAACAGCTAGCTGGAGCAATATGTCTCGTCATGCATCAGTGTACATGGGGAACCATGCAAGTATGCCATCATCCGTGACTCCAGGACTTCGTTATAAAAACTTGGGCAAGTCAGGGCTGCGGGTGCCCAACATCGGCCTCGGCCTGTGGACTAAGCTCAACGAAGACGTTGCCGAAGACCTCGTCATGACAGCTCTTGAGAGTGGCATTAATTTGTTTGATTTATCGGAAGCTCATTACGGTAAGTATCGTTTTAAACCATTATGGACCCTTACGATTATTTATCAAACAAAACAAACGAAATTTTGAACCTTAACTAATTCGCTTTCATATGTATCTTGTCTAACACTATGATAAATATTTTACAATTTGATTTTCAGCTCAAGGCGAAGTAGATTTGGGAAGAATTCTGAAAAAGAGGAACGTGAAACGATCCAGCATCATTATTACAATAAAAGTTTATTGGAGTACAAAGTGAGTTATTGTTTTTTATCGACACGATAAGAAAATAAATACAGCGAAACAAGTGTAGCTATCTAATTATTTCAGGTCTGAAGAAAGAGGTCAGTCTCGAAAGCACATTATAGAGAGTGTAAAGTCGTCACTTGCGAAACTACAACTGGAGTACATAGACGTTATCCTTCTACATAAAGTGGACCGCGTTTGCCCAATGGAAGGTATGACAGCGATATTCGCAAAATAAGAACGAACCGTATTGACCGTAATGACTGAACTTTTTCCTTACAGAATTGGTGCGAACTATGAACTACCTCGTGAATCAAGGTTATGCGATGTACTGGGGGACAGCGCGCTGGACGCCAACCGAGGTATGTTTCGTTAGTTTGTTGTCCTGAATAAATGTAGTAAGAAGTCAGATTTGTCAAAAGAAAAGAAGAAGATGGCTCGCTGTTTCCTTTCTCAGATAATGGACGCATACTCTAAGTGCCGTGCTTTCAATTGTTGCACGCCAGTTGTGGAGCAAACTGAATACCATATGTTCTGCCGCGACAAGGCCGAACTATACATGCCCGAGCTGTACCATAAAATTGGAGTGGGTGAGTTTAACGATGACCTTTATGGGCTGGTATCAATTATGATTCCAGATTTATATCAGATATGACCTTGACAATATAGGCACTATGGTGTGGTCTGCACTCACCACCGACAAGGGTTTGAGTCACGAGGAGTTGTCAGGACTATTTGCCAAGTCTCGGTTTAACCGCAAATACAGCACCTTTAGCTGGTGGGAAGAAGAACCGGTTGGCACTGATGTAAGTAAAGCGCACAATCGTGATCTTAATAATGTTATTATTATACAATATTAAGCGTTTAAATAAACTATTTTTTAAGGAACCTGAAAACAAGGAATCTTCAACATTACGTAGTTACAAGGACAAGCTGCAAGCTTTATCAGACCTAGCAAACGCCTTAAGTGAGTATAATTTTTTCTTTCCTTTCGACGGTTGTATTTCCTAAAACTTGTTGTTCTATTATTTTTTAGACTGTTCTATACGGCAATTATCTTTGGCTTGGTCTCTAAAAAATGAAAACGTAAACTGTTTACTTCTCGGAGCTACCAGTGTTGAACAATTCAAAGAGAATATACATGCTCTGCAGGTACTTTTCTCATTATTGTATTTTAAACTTTTGAAATGAGTGGCCTACTGTGACCGGAAGACACTACGTAATATTACATTATCTAAAAAAATAAAAGATTAGATACTAGCACTACATCGGCCTATATAAATTGAACTATAAACATATGTTATAAAACCAGATCGTACCCCAATTGTCTCCTGCCGTGATAGTCGATATCGAGAGAATTCTCGCGAACAAACCTCAGCGCCCACCGATGATTTCCACATTGGCCATGAGAAACCAACAGAATGCTAAACCAGATGCTGAGTAAGTTGGTTTATTTAAAATTTGAGTAATATTCTATACATTTATATCTTATTGCTAAAAGTAACTTTTGCATGTGCAGTGATGATGCGGAGACATCAAAAGAAGAGGACGTAGAAGCCAACGTGGCGAGCCCCGAGAAGGAGGCTGACTTAAAGGGTTGTTCGGTTCAATGATCCTGGTGGAAAGGAAGCTCCGACATGGCTTCCAAGTCTA